CTTTGAGAAGGCCTCAAACGATATCCTCTGGAGTTAAGAGGTTCACCAACGATACTTGGTTGAGTTACACAACCCTAAACGGTACGAAAAACGATAGGTATCGGTAATCGGCACTAAGATTTCAGGACTCCTCCTGAACCTCAGAACACGACTTCACTCGCCGAATCACCACGACCGAATCCCCCTAAAATGGAAGACTTCCTCCACCATCCCCTCTTAAGGAAGACCTTTAATTCGCGTCGTACGCGTGTATTGACATATTTGACATCAAGATGGCGGATTGTTTACATCCGGAAGTCGTACCGATATTTTAGGTTCGCGTAGGCTTATAATTATCGTGGTTGATGAGATGTTGTTAGTACTAGTCGCAAAAGAATTAGAGTGAAGAAAAGAAGCGTGAAGGGAAAGTGATAGTAAAGTAAGAATGGAAAGATAGAAGAAGGGTTGCACTGTTTGGGGTGTCGACAAAGAGTGGAAAGGAAGGGAAGACCTTCCCCAAAACAGTACAACAGTACTCTGGGAAATAGAAAAGAGAAGACGAGAGGAAAGATAAGAGTGTAGAGAAAGAGATTTGAGTGGTATGGCACCCAGGAGTGCAGAGTGACACCCCCTGTGGCTTATAGCAGCCACCCGCTAAAATGGGAGGGGTAACAGGCGTAGCTCCAGCCGCCCCATATCGGCTGGCGCCAAAAACAAAGATGAAAACGGTAAGAAAACCTGAAAATCCGGAGGAAAACAAACATATGCAACCAGTTATACTTAATTTGACTACCGCAACTCTATTATACTTTCTTTTAGGCCCTTTTCTCTTTTTTAGTTGTCTTTTATGGCGTTCAAGACAGATGTTAAGTACCCAAGCATTTGTGTGGCCCTTTAAAATACGCCCCACACACCGGCAAGTAAAAGTAGCATGCTACAAGATAATCCTTCTAATGATGAATATTTAATACAAAAAGTAATTTTTATCGTAGAATTCGTGAATTGGTGGCCGAAGAATACACCGCTCATAGTTTTAGGCGTTCGAGTGCAACTCTACCAGCAGACTCTGTGGCAGCTTCAACAGTTGTAAAGTGACACGTGACACGGTGGCTGGCGTTCGAATAGTGTTAGAATACATAAAGGATTCTCTGAACATGAAATCGAAATTTTGAGAAGAATCATCAAGCAATCATCAAAATCGTTAATAATAGATCTGTCTTGAATTGTAACTTTTATATTTCAGACTACAAAGATAAAAACTAATTCACTGTTAATATTTCTGCAGAAGAAATAAAAATCTGTTCTTGTTTGAAATTTTTTAATTCACTAAACGCTTTGATTTCACTAGTGAATCATGAACTCCTTATGAAGGTTACTGTGGAGTTCATAATAACTATTTAACGAATAAATTTGTTAATAAAGGCGATTAATAATTGAGTTAGTTACAATACTTTTCCGGCGATCGTAATTTTATTAAATTACTGAAAATTCAAAATATGAGTTATGCAACCAAACATACAAGTGAATATTTTTATTAATTAACATTATTAGTTCACTAAATTTGGATATGTCCAAATCATGATTGATGCTTAAAGTGAACCGAAGTATACAATACTTTTTTTACTTTTGGGGAATTTCGGCGACAGTTCAGGAGGGACTGAGGGTATATCTGGTTGCCTAAAATCATGCATTAATAAGCCTCTTGCTCTCTTGCTTTTCTAATAAGAAAAGCTTTGATATGTTAAACACACCAAGCTCTCCTACAACTCTCTTTTCGAGTTATCTTCCTGTATCAATTAGTTCGATTTGGGTTTTCGTAAAGTGAAATTCAAAATTGCAAAAGTGTTTTAAAAATTATTTATCATCTGGTCATTTTAAAACGAAATTTATCCATTACTGAAAATTTTAATAGTTAAGAAATCGGTAGGTTTCTGTATAATTGCCAACACCGCCGCGAATTCTCCGATATAAAACGCATTGTCAAGTAAAACCGGAACGGACTTTAGCTTCTCAAAGTCTTGTCCAGCCCCAAGAAAACAGACTTACCGTATCGTATTGTAGGTGAGGTGTTCGTGTTCGGTATCCGGAAAGGTACAGTCGCTATAGTAATCGGGAAATTGACTTGGACAACGTCTACGTCTTTATCACTGTCTAGACTTACCTACAACTCGCAAAAGTTACACAGAAACCAACACCTCCGCCATACGTACTGAAAGCACATAATAGATTTGTACTAATCTACAAATTCCAACAAGTGTTGTAGGCATCGGAGGTAAAACAAGGCTATTGGAACTGTCCCATTTACTGCGAGAGTGCGGCTTGACGTTGCTCCCTCTGCAAGCAAACGTCACCAAGTCGTCGAAACCCGACTTCGAAATACCTGTATTCGAAAACAAGGTGCTTCAGGTCCTTGCTCACGTCCAGAGGACTCCTTGGTCGATGAAGAACTCGCAACACTTTTCCAGCCGGACTCGCAGTTTTACTTCGTCTTTACTTTGATTGTCGATTGTCGCTTTTAGCTTTACGCCGAGCGTTCGAGAACACAGCGGAGGCTGACGGTGCCTTTTTTGCAGCACCAGTCGTAGACGACTGGTTTTTGGTAAATTGACGGGTTATTGAGTCTTCGCTATTTGTGGTCGTGGGTCTGGGTTGTTGATAAGGGACGAATTTGGAAAGGTTGTCGATGTTTCGAGTTTTTCATTAAGCCTTCTTCAATTATAATATAAATCAACGATTTGTACAGTCTGTGCAAAAATATACTACGTGTTGGACGTAAAAGCTTTGAAAACACCGTTTTTCGCGGAAATTTACAATTCCGAAAAATTAAATTTTAGATCGAAGCTGACAAACGTACCAAAAGTCACCTACCTGTTCAGCCTCCCGGATATCCCGGGTTAAAGGTTTTGTAGACCGCCTGCACAATTAAGAACCACGTGTCCAATTTCGCGCCAACACTGCACGAATAACGTCATAGAAGATGGCAACTGCGTTCACCTAACGCCCACTTTCGCGATCTAACCTCTAGGAGGGTTTCTCGTAAACAACATTAACAATGCCAAGCCCTAGTACTGGAGTTTTAAATAAAGTGACGTAATAGAATATCGACTTTGACTCTAGATTCGTAGAGATTCTTATTTTTGGAACGTATATGTTAAAAGCTTGCTAGGACTCTCTTGAAAAATAGTATTTTAGGAGCAGCTTTAAAAATATGACACCACAAATTTGAGCTTAAAATTTAAAAATCTATTGTCTATTTGAATTTGTATATTTTAGAGACAATGTTAATCTACACTGGCATGCTTTTAAATAAAATATAATCTGATCTGTTCTACTTCTCCATTAGGTAAATAATCGTGAATAGTAACAGACACTGTTACGTATTTAAAGAAACATATTTTTGTTAAGATCTACTTAAAAGATAAGATTATTTCTTATAAATATTCATTGCCTTCTTGAGTCTCTGTCAAAATAGTTTGCTAAAAGTCAAATTAATACCATAATTATGTTGAACAAACAATATATTTGTTTTAGTTAGATTTATTAATTAAACTGTGATAATAAATGAAATACTTGTTAATGTTGCTCATTGTTAGTAATGTCACGATTGTTGATATGAGAAAAGATGGAAAGATGGTTTAGAATAGCATTTCTGGTTGCGTCTAGATTTTTTTAGACGCGGAGCTATCAAACAATACAGGGTGATTCGCCCTAAATAATGAATGTGATTTATGATTAGCGCCAACCCAAAATATATTATTCCTTTATTCCTAGGGTAGCACCAGAATTTAACAAATATCACAAATCTACAAAGTTTGTCGTTTTAAAAACGTCACTGTCACGCTTTACGTTTAAAATAAAAGTCGTTGGAAATAATTTGCTTGAAATAAACCCATCGCGGATTTTTTTTGGGGATAATGTAATTATGTTTGTTTACAGTGCCATTGTTGGAAAATTTGGATTCATCGCTAAATAAAACGTTCTTGATAAAACTGAGATCATTTAGCAGGTTATCGAACAAAATTGCAAAGTGTTAGTCTTCATGAAAAGTCAATCTCGCATAGTTTATGAAGTAACTATATATGGTACGAATGGAACTTCTTAGACTTTAACATTCGACAAATAGAAGATTGACTTACGCCAATTTCTGTTGCCCAATGTGAAAAACAGTCTCCAAAACTCGAATCTCGCTGTCCAAGTTAAAACACTTTTTCGTTGACTCAGAAACCAAACGTTTCGTAATTTAATTTAAAGTCTTGTAAAAGTTATATGTGTTGGATGTCTACGTTCGGGATATTTCAGCGCATACAAATTTGTCGCCACTAGAACATTTTTTTGACACTACTCAAAACCTACCTCTGCGTCCTTCAGGGGCGTAGCAGATTTTTATGACTCCGCCTTTTTCAGGATAACATAAATCAGAAAACTTTTATTTATTCAATTTTATTTGCTGAGTATTTCGTATCCCACTTGATCTGTATTTTTTAGAGATAAAATTAATCTACGCTGGCATACTTTTAAATCAAAAATGATCCGATCTGTTAATTTTCTTAGAAAAGTAAAAACTTTTAAGAGTTTAAATTTCTTTGTTTGTGGGACACTGCTACACGCGTGTTTTGGTACGCAGTAGGTTAGGTACCGTTCTCAGGCAGATGAGTAACTGTGTATTCATGGTACGTTTTATGGTAATTATCCCTTTTGGCACATATAGAACAAATCGAAAAAAAATTAGAAGGACAGAATATAAAACAACATAATACTCTAACAATAGATCAAATTCAACATACACGAATAAGGTGTTTTAAAATTCTGAAAGTTCTTTACATTTAGAATAAGTTAAGATGGACTTTAAACAAGTAGACGCTTCATCACTACAAATAACGGTTTGTTAGTTCTCTATTTTCTAAATAACCTTGAATAATAACGATAATATATATCTTTCATAAGGACTATTTAAGAGATAAGATTATTTTTTATTAATACCTACCTATCGCTTGTTTTATTGAATCTGTATCACGAATAGTCCATATATAATACCACAATACCAGTAACCATAGATATTTTCATTGCAAGTTTCAATTGTATAACGATTATTATTTTTTGTTCTAATTAAAAATGGCAACCGTAAGTAGTTGGTGATGTGTACATTTTATAATAAGTAATTTGCAATTATATTTTTAGGGAAAAACAAATATCGACGGACAATATGAAACACCTGACAATTTTTCCCCGGTAAGTTAGATATTAATGTTAATTTAATATTTTACAAGAATCGTGCAGCTGTAGATGATAAATACAGCGTGATCAACACTGTTTGAGTTGGAAATAGAATTTAAGCTCTGAAGAAAGTTTTATTATGAAGTTTTAATGGTAATAAATAACAAATTTTTACATAAATAATATCACTGTCAACCGTGTCAGTTTTCTCAGTAGAAGCTAAGGTCAAGCGACTGCTCTACCAGTTTCAAGTGAAATTCATTAGTACCAACTGAAGAGTACTTGTTGATCACGGATGCTATTTAAATTTTATAAAATAATACACTTTTGCACTTGTACTTTATCAATTATCAGTCAACACAATGGAAGTAAGATCAGGTACTAAAAATGATAAATGTTGTATTTTAGTATAAAATAGTTGAATGATTAATGGTTCATAATCGGATTAAACTTTTTGCAATGAACTGCGTCACACGCTAATAATTTCCCTAGATTGTTGTTTAAATGAGATAAATGAATCATTAAAAAGTTCGCGAAAACTTTCTTCACTCCTAAGGTATTTTGCATGCATATTCGAGGGTATTTTTCTTCAATAGAAATGTATTTGTTAGCTTACTATGTAGACTCAACTTCTTTATTATTTATCTGATCAATAAATTTAGTAACAAAGTTTCGAAAGAATTAACATCTGCCACGATATTTTTCAAAAATGTAATATCTATATATTACAATTTTCGTCAACTTTATTTCGATATAACGGCGTGGCATGCAACTTTCTATATATTCTGCATCAGCAATCAAGCTTCCATTATGTCAATTGTCATCTTCGCAGAGTTCTATAAATTATTTCAAATAAACATCTTTTTGACCTTGGAATGGGTAGATAAAATTCTTCATATAACGGGAAAGAATGTAAATAAGATAAGAATTTCTCAGTACGTGCATAACTTCGACTGTTTATGTGCATACTTGGAAAGATTTCGACTATAAGCACGTTCAAATTTGAAGGATCAGCGGTTAAAGAAAATTAAATTTTCAATTTCAAAATATTCTAGTTTGTATAACTGCTGCCAGAAACACGTGTATGTCATGGTTATTCTCAAATTTATCATAAACGTTCGTCTCAGATTTTCCTGAAATGTTTCTAAAAAAATTGCAGCAATTGCATTTTTTGAAGTAAAAGTTCAAATATTTTTGTTTTGTTGTGGTATAAACAAAATTGAACTTTAATATACATAGTGTTTATGAAAAATGTTTTAATTATTACAATTCTCAAATATCGATATTATCCTATGTTCAAATATAAATTGAACAGCCTGTATCTATTACTACATTATTAATGATAATGATATTTCGAAAAGGTTGTCGACGCATGATGAGTGATCGAAAAGACGTGTCCACTTTCATTCAAAAACGGCATCGCCCTTATTTAAAAATTCTGTTCACTTAGAATTTTTACAATCACCTACGTCGACAACCATGTTGAAATAAATATAGTATGTCTTTATTGTAATTGAATTTCTTACTTTATAAAACATTCTTTTCAGAAATTTAAGAAGAGAAGTGGTACTACTGACCTAGGTAAAGACTACGAACATCTCTACATAGCGAACTTAGTTTTAAAATTAATTATTGACGATGACGTAGAAAATTTTTACTTGTCGTCAAACGATAGTGCATATGGTTCTTTCGATGACGTTGTAGTTGAAATTGAATTCAAAAATCGTATCGAAACGTTCGCTATTCAGTTGAAACACCTCAACACAACAGGGGGAATACAAATTGAGCAGTTAAACGCATCGAGTGGAAACTTTAGCGTCGAGAAGTATTATAAAGACTTCAAAAAAGAGTCGAAGTTGTCTGACTCGCGTATCAAGATGGTTTTGTTTACCAATTCTAAGCTAAATGATGAACACATAGATCGGTTTAAATTTGGCAAATTGACGCCACATGAACAAGACAGTTTGCTAAGTACACGTATGTCCACGTTGGGAGGACAGTGTTACAGATTTGAAGAAAATGAAGATAATTTCAAAGAGTATGGATCTTTTTTTAAAAATTTGTATCTCTACACTGATCAGTCAGATGTCAAAGAACTAGAAACATGTACACTTGAGACTTTCAAGGCATATTTCAAATGCAACGACATCGTTTTCCGAGAGTACCTACATTTTATAACCCGGTGGAGTATGCAGCAAGGAAACAAAACCAAATTAAATAAAACGTGGATGAAACACTTGATAAGTCTTTGTGTGTTTTCACCTTTTATCAGACCGTTATCTTTCGTTGCTGGTGGACTAGCGGACGCCAAAAGAAAAATGTTTAGCGAAGCTGTTTCGAAATTTCACTTGACTTATATAAATAAAAACAATTTCGAGAAAATCGCCTCATTTTGGTCAAACGCTGTCGACGATATTGATGACATAGAAGAAATGATTAAAATGAATTACAAGTACCAACTTATCGAAAAAGGAATAAAAACAAAAGATAGTCTCTATGATAAAGACGCAACAAAAGTATCGCTGCTCATGTGGTTGCTGGGAAAAAGTCCGTTAGTCGTTGAAGGATGCCCACAAGTTTATCAAGCAGTTAAAACATGCCAGGCTAAAAATCTAATTATATTAGATAATAATAATAATCGACAAATGTTTAATGAAACACGTGGCCAGCAAAAACCGCACCTGTTTCAAAAATTGTCTGACCTAAAAAAACACGTACAGTTGTATGAAGACATCCTAACGAAATTTACTTATTCATTGCAAGGGCAAAAAAACTCTGTGTTGAAATATTTGCTAGAAATCTGCGAAGATAGCGACAACTTCATCACTACAGATGATTTAGTTGAAATGGTGGAAGATACATTGCTGATTGGAAAATATAAAGATGCTCTACCACCCAGTCACGTCGAAAGAAAATTGACGAAAATTTTAATAGATGTTAAATTTTTGAAAAATATTAAAGAAAATACAATTGTTTTAGTTGATTGTGTAACAGATGTCAGTTCTTTCAAACAATTTTTACCAAATTTGGTAATCAGCGACGTGGATGACGTTGAGGTCATTCAGAACACAATTCATGAACAGAAAATATATGTTTGTCGAAAGGAAGTTTCACAGGAGGAATTTTCTGAATTTTGTAAAAAAAATTTAGAAACTCAGTTTCATCACGTCGGATACTTAGACAATCATCGTTTGGAATGGATGGAAAGTGAAAATTATGGCGCGGAACGAAAATATACCAAGGAACTTGAGAGGTTTCGTCTACAAAGTGACTTTATGGAGTACACTATACCCGAGCTCCAGTACTTTAGTCATTCTCGACAAAATATCAATATTATCTGCGCCGATGCTGGAATGGGAAAAAGCACATTAACGAAGAGTTTAAAAAAGAGTAGTACGTCGACAAAATGGATCATTTTAATTAACTCCAGAAATCACGCTTTACACTTCAAGAAACATGAGTCAAACGTGGAGAATTTCTTAAAATATATCCTAGACGAAACTTTTAAGGAATGCGTTGATCCGTTCCACGAGAAAGTGTTCAAAACGATGCTGGAACAAAATCAAATACAACTAATATGGGATGGACTCGATGAAGCATCTGATGCCACTCAAAATTTCATCTTAACTTTGGTAACTGCGTTTTCGGAAAAAAGAGTGAAGCAATGGTTGACTTCCCGAATCAACTTAAGGGATATGTTGGAAGACAAGTTAGGTACGTTTGCGCGAAATATAAAACAATTTAGTGAAGACGAACAAAAGGAATATATAAAAAACCGTTTAGAGATTACCGGTGACGAGTTAAATGAAACTTTTAATAAAATAAGAAAAAATATAATGTCTTTTCCAAATTGTGAAATTTTGGGGATTCCTCTACAAATTTCAATGCTTACAGAATTATTTTCAAACGACAGAGATAAATACCTACCGTTGTTAGACGGTATTTTCACTGTTCTTGATTTATATAAACATTTTGTTGCGGAAAAATTTCATGTTTTGTATAAGGATAAAAATGTAGTTGTATTAGAAAATGAGCAAAATAACCGCAATTTTGAAAACGAAAAGAACGTTACAATGAGCTATTATAAAAGTTTAGCTGCAAGTTATTATATTCATAATTCTTTTATAAAAAAGATTTTAAATAAATTTTTCTCTTACGACAAGACGATAGACAATTTTGTAGAAAAAATCAAAAACGAAGGAGATGGTGTAGGATTTATAAGCCGCATTATATCTAAATATGATGTTGAATTCATTCACAATTCATACGGTGAATATTTTGCAGCGTTATATCTATTTGAACACGAGAATTCTAAAGCACGCGATAATAAATTTATCTCTGATAGTAGATATAAAAACATTCGATTTTTTTTAGATTTAATGTTAGCAGGAAATTCAAGGTGTTTGGTTGGTGTTATATATAAGAATATTTCAATTCTGGAAGAATTTATACATACCGATCTAAGTCAAAAAGACCTCATTGGTCGTGACGTTTTGGAAGTGGCATGCGCCTGGAATAAAAGTTATCCACTTGTTAAAAACAATATTATTATGAATGACAAAAGTTTTAACACGGAATGGTTAATCAGCAATAATAAAAAAGTCGTTAGAACCTTAAATTATCGTGATATAGCACCAAAATTTTATAAATTCAGCGCATCGGGTCATTCGTGTTTTAAAAAGTTGCTGATTTTGTTACCATTTTTGATTCCATTCTATGACGGGAATGAATTCTATCAAGAGTATTTAGTAGCAGTTTTATATTATGCAATTAGATTTGATTGTTCAGTAATTTATGAGTGTACTGAAAATTCTATTCCTTTAAAAACCACATACAATAATATTAGTCCAAGAAGCATTCTAGCCTTAGCTCTTTTCAACAGGTCAACGCAAATATTAAAAAAAATACTTTCGGAAGAACGATTTATTTCTGAATGGGATTGCGTAGAAGATCTTTTAGTTTTGAATTCGGAAATTGACGAAATATTGAGTTTTGCGTTACATTTTCCAGAATTTAGAACAGATGTGCCCAATTCGAGAGGTCAGCCGTTGGGGCATTATGCGTGTGAAAAAAATTTAACGAAAACCTTACGTTCACTAATTTTCAGAAAAGCGAACATGAATGATCGCGATAGGCACGGAAAACGTCCTATACATCTTGCACGTGAAAAGGGGCATTCAAATTGTTTAAAACACATAGCACAAATTGACGTTTTAGATGAAGACGGTCGATTGCCGCTTCATTACGCTTGTGAGGATGGAGATTTAGGTGTAGTAGGCATACTGTTAAAGAATGGTGCGAAAGTTGACGTCCCGGATGGAAATTGCCAGCTGCCGATTCATTATGTATTTCAAAAATGGCATACAGATATTATAAAGGTACTATTAAGCAATGATGTGAAAGTGAATGTTCCGGATGGAGATGGAAGGCTGCCGATACATTATGCTTGTGAACATGGAAATTTGCATATACTAGAATTACTGGTAAAGAATGGAGCGAAAGTGAATGTTCCGGATGGAGATGGACAGCTGCCGATATGTTATGCTTGTGAACATGAAGATTTAGCTATGGTGAAAATACTGTCAACGAATGGTGCGGAAGTTGACGTTGTGGATAAAAATGGTCATCTACTGATTCATTATGTGTTTCAAAAATGGCACTCAGATATTATAAAAGTACTATTAAGCGATGGTGTGCAAGTGAATGTTCCGGATGGAGATGGTAGGTTGCCGATACATTATGCTTGTGAACATGGAGATTTACATATACTAGAATTACTGGTAAAGAATGGAGCGAAAGTGAATGTTCCGGATGGAGATGGAAAGCTGCCGATACATTATGCTTGTGAACACGGAAAGTTAAGCATGGTAGAATCACTGGCAACGAACGGAGCAAAATTTGATGTCCCGGACAGAGGTGGTCAGCTATCGATGCATTATGCGTGCAGAAATCACCGGTGCGGATGTGACATAATTTTATTTTTGTGTAAAAATGGTGCGAAAGTGGATGTTCCGGATGGCAATGGACGGCTACCAATACACTGCGCCTGTGAATACGGAACTTTAGGTGTAGTAAAATTATTAGTATCGAATGGTGCGAAATTGTATGTTTCGGATCAGAGTGGTGAACTGCCGGTAGCTTACGCGCGTAAAAATCCAAAATTTGGAAGCAAAATAAATATATTTTTGTTGAAAAAAATGAAACAAAAATCGTTCACGAAACTTAATATATCTACATAAGACAGTTGCCGACGTCAAGAAGTTCTCACAAATAGATAGATAATCTTCGAAACTACTGGACTGATTATTGTTAAATTTTGTACATTATTTTCCAAATTAAAAAACCATCAACACTGCATTCTACCTTGAAAATATATACACAATATTGACAGCACCGTAGTATTAGTATTGAAGTTTGAAAAAAGGATTGGTTAAAACTAACTCATAACGATATCAAGACACAATGGTTGATTTTGGAAATGTTTTGAAGTTTCAAAACGTTTTAAAGTGAGATAATGAACTCAAATTTTACAAACGTTAAAATGATTGCGTGTTTTGTTGTGACAAATTTGATGTCCGTTGAAGTTTCAACGGTAAAAGTCGTAGTGCCGCTCTAAGAATATGAAAATCACGACTGGAGGTTTTTTTGTTAGCAACTGAAATCAACAGGTGCTGGTTTTTTAATTTTGGTGAAAACTATATGTACATTGGGAGGTATCATGTTGATGGTAAAACGCTAACCAAAAATTTTATGTAAAATTTGTTTTTATTTTTATAAAATAAGATACTCCTGCATTTGTAGTGTATGAATCCGTGTTGAATTTTCAACTTACACGTCCAACATTTTCCAATTTAACTTTGGAACTACAAGATCGAATGCTTTGAAATCTTGCACACGTTTTAAAGCTATCGTAAACATCGTAAATCGTTACACAAAATTTATTCGTTTATCCCCTTCCAAAATTTTGTCGAGTAAATTCTCTTTGCAATATGCAAAATAATATGACTCCATACTTGTGGTTTATCAATACATTCATAGCTTTTGAAACTACTTATCCAAAGTGGCTCAAAAATTAATGAATATGGCTGTTTATTTTATCAGTTAAATCAAGAACGACTCACTCCATTAATTTGGGAATACAGTACTGCCATAGCAGTTATTAGTGTTCTAATCCAGTTCTAAAAATTTGTAGAGAAATGACTAGATATCTCAACAATTTGGGATGTAGTTATGTAGGATCTAATTATTTTTAAGGTTTAATGTCATCTAATCAATTTAAATGTTTTAAATATAAACGTAAAGGATTGAAACCTGCACTGTTTTCTTTAAGTTTATATCTGTGTACATATGTATATCGATCGATTTGACGAATTCTTAAATTTTTAATTCTATGGAATAATCTATGTTATGTGTCATAAATGTTATGTATTATATGTATAATCTGACGTCCTTCGAAGTTGACACATCCAAGTTTATGTATTTATGTATTATGAATACTAAAATCAACGGGTGTCTAATTCAAAGTCAGGTCAAAGGCTGCCTTCTGTTGTTTTTTTTTTTTAATTCAATTTACACGTTATTAATTTACAACAGTCGATACGACAAACGGATGACAACTTTCATAATTCAATTCTGAAAAATACAAAACCACTGCTGACATTATACCCTTGACCAGGTTTCCATTTAGACTTCCGATACAGCGTGTAGCGTAAAATGTACTGTTACGCCCTGTGACCATACCGGATGTTTTGCAATAAAACCATGTATTTGTTACATTAAGGGCCAGTTGCATAAACGCAAATCAAATTTAATCTCTGATTAACTCCATAGTAACGATTGTTATTATCATAGTTACAATTGTTCTTAATCAGAGATTAAATTTGATTTGTGTTTATGCAACCGGCCCTAAGATTTATTAATTAAATTGTGATAATAAATGCAATACCTATTAATGTTGCCCATTATTACATACTAATGTCACGATTCTTGAATAAACCCATAAACTCTCACTTGTCACCAGCTCTTACTGTCAGGTTCGCTCTGTCCGATTTTTTCACTCGTCAAGACGACTTAGCTGCTTTCGCTGGATTAAGCGTTTCACCACCCTTTCAGGAAACACCTGGTGATGATGATGAGTTCAACGATATTTTTGAGAAGAAATTTCTTTTCCACCCAACTTCTTGCTAATTGTGACAGTACGCACGTTGGTTGTTACAACTGTAGTGATCCTTTAAGCTCACTTCTTGTCGGCCCATTAAATATTAGGGTTAAAGTCACTTGGAATGGCTCTAGTTGTATAGTTTGGAATGAACTGTCCACCCATAATTTTCTCGGACGGAAGAATCATCGATCAACGACCAGAGTACCTCTTTATTGTTATTCTTTGTTAACAGTCTTGATATAAATAATGATAATAATGAATGAAAAGCCCTGAGTGTGTTACTCGTCGATTTATTTCTTTTGATGTCACTTGGCATTTTCCTCGGTAATTAACGAGCCCAGATACATACAGATACTCTCATATTATTTAAATTTAAACAAATAAGACAAAATTGGGTCTTAAATTGATTTGTTTCCAACCAAATTAGATATTAAAGCATTAAAATATTGATAAAGAAAACCTATTTGTTAAGGCGATAACTCAAACTGATGTTTCCAAAAATTACTTATTAATTAGCGCCTCTTTACATAGTGAACAAGCTAAATAAGTTGCCGTAATAGAATATCGACATTGACTCATAGATTGGTAAATATTGTTATCTTTGGAACGTATGTTTTAAAAATTTGACACCACAAATTGGAGCTTAGAGATAGTATATTAAACTACGCTGGCAAACTTTTAAATAAAATATAATCTGATCTGTTCTAGTTCTCCATTTGGTAAATAATCGCGAATAATAACAGGCACTGTTCCGTACTTATTTAAAAGAAACATATTTTTGTTAAGGTCTATTTAAAAGATAAGATTATTGTTATTTTATAAATAAGTATTGATTGTCTTCTTGAATCTCTGTGAAAATAGCTTTGCTAAGAGTCAAATTAATACCATAATTATGTTGAACAAATCATGTATTTGTTTTCCTAAGATTTAGAAACTAAACTGTGATAATAAATACTTGTCAATAAATTTGGTAAAAATGTTTTAAAAGAATTTACATCTGCTACGATATTTTTCAAAAATTTAATATCTTCGATATACTTCTTACAGTTTTCGTCAACTTTCTTTCGATATCGCGTGGCAGGGCAACTTTCTATATACATATTTTCCAATCACCAATCAAACTTCCATTATGTCAACAAAATCGTCTACTGTGCCGTCGTCTTCGAAGAGTTCTATCAATTATTTAAATTAAGCATCTTTTTGAACTTAAAATGAGTAGGTAAAATTCGTTAAAATTTCTTCATACAACGGGAAAGAATGTAGGATAAGATAAGAATTTCTCAGCACATGCATAACTTCGACTGTTATGTGCATACTTCGAAAGAATTCGACTATAAGCACGTTCAAATTTGAAGCATCAGCCCATCAGCGGTTAAAGAAAATTAAATTTTTAATTTAACAATATTTTAGTTTGTATAACTGCATGCCAGAAACACGTTGTTGTCAAATTTAGCATAAACGTTCGTGTCTAAAAAAATAGCAGCGAATTAATAGAACAGCCTGTATCTATTATTATTATTACAGATTAATGATATTTCAAAATGGTTGTCGACGAGTTATTTAGAATTTTTACAGCCACCTACGTCGACAACGATCTTTGAAATCAATAGATGTGTAGGAACAACCGTTCCCACAAAATCAGGTGTTCTACCTGAGGGCATTCATAGTAATTGTATAAATGTAAATACTTCCTATCTTTCGTCTACCTGCCCTAAGATCCTACATACTTTCTCTTTTCCCTTCTAGAATTTTCTAAACTCCTTTTTTACCTACTTCCACCTCTTCGAAACCGAGCTTACCTGTGTACCATTTTAAACACCCTTCCTTCTTCTCCCTGACACCCTCGAACAGTAAAGAACAAAATAAAAACTGAAAACCGTACGGTCGCTTTTAAATCACCAACAATACCCACAGATGTTTTTATTGAAATTGAACTTCTTACTTTATAAAACGTTCATTTCAGAAATTTAAGAAGAGAAGTGCCTCTATCCTTTAGCACATTCTTTATCGATCACTAGCGCAAATCCACACCCTCATTTACTACTGATGCTGGCTTTTTAAATATTGTGGTTATAGTAACTTACAATATATACTAAAGCTCCGAAACTACTGGACCGTATTTAATGAATATCGTATAAATGGCTAGATGCGAACCAAAATTTGTCTGATGATACCCACCAACAATTTGATGACATCGTTTAAAAATTTTACATAGTAAATGCTTTTTAAATTTCATAAAATAATATTGTCCTACACCTGTGGTTTATGAATCCGTCTTAATTTTTTACCTTAACCATTCAGATTTTTGGAAAAAATTGCATAAGCGAATGTTCTGTAATTTTGTAAACGTCTTAAAGTTATCGTAAGCATGGCAAATTGTTAATCAAAATATATATTCGTTTTCCTCGCCCTCCAAAACTTGGTGATGTCATTTCAAAATTTTGCTGGGCAAATCCAATAGGAAATGTGGAAACTGTTATTAGTGCATTCAGATTTTTGTACATTTGCTTATATAGTTTGATTCCAAATAATTAATAAAGAAATCATTTCCTCTAAATTTTGGGAATACAGTACTGTTAATTATTGTCACTAATATTACACCAAACTGACATATGTGCTCCTGCTAAAAAGTTGAAGACGTCATCACAAATCTTTGTTAAGAAAATGTCATTTGAAACATACGCATAGCATGCTTCTTTATTTTATAAAAGCGTTAGATGACTTTTTTAAAGTTGCATGTACTTAATTTAACATCCGTTAATTCAGGTCACTAAGGAAACGATGACAAGTCACAATGGAAACGTATTTCTGACGTATTCCGTAGCCCCAGTGCAGTAGATCTTCATTTCACTTTACTTTTATCACCCTGTTCTGTACCTTCGAAACAAAGTGGCCTTCTGAAAATCTTCCAAGAACAAAAAAAAAAATCCAAGGAATAACCCTCTCAATTTATGCCACATGTTTAGTAAACACCGACTCTATATAATTATATATACGAAACAGAATGCTCATTAGCTTGTAACACCCATAAACAAATAGAAAACTGCGGTTCATCCAACTGTTTAGTAAATGTAAGAATAAATATAATAACAGCTCGCCCAAAATTATAATTGGCCTGTTGTTCCACTGTACTTTAATTAATTACATTAGTCCTAATCGAAATCAATCGAATTCCAATTTCCTTTAACGCAGATGCTTGTTATCGCAACGTGCTAATAGTAAAATTCTTTCGAAACATAAACAGTCGAAGTTACGCATCTATGAGATGTTGAGAAAACATGTTTTCCCGTTGCGTAGCTGTTTCATATATTTTTTATATTGTCGGCACTTGTTTGGCCCTTGGAATTTGCGCCTCACTGGCGGGGTATTATTTAAGCTTTGCCTATATTCTTTTATGTATAGAAGATATAACAAATAAAATGTCGCCAAATCAGATTGTACAATTTTTCAAAGAGGCCTGTGTTAAAAAAAAAAAACAAAAACAAATATAACCACTTTTATTTTTGGAATCTTTTTTTGGTGGTCTTCAGTAACGCCTCTGCGGTACTTTTAATTTCAGGATATCCTTATGATTTTAAAAATAAATAAAACATATTTTTAAAGTTTAAGCTTTATCCCTTATTTGTTTTAATTATTTTATCTAGGAAGTGAAGAGCAATTATTTCACGTTTTCTTCATTAAATCAGTTACGTGTAAAGTGCGCATCATTCAACAAATTACGCAATAACAAATATTTTATATTTTCAAAGAAAATCCTATCCGATTTGTTTATTTTCTGATTTTGTAAATAACAGGGAAAATAAGCAAATATTGACGCATGAAAAAAAATCTACTCCCCGTTTTTTAAGATGCACGAAGGAGATAATATCACCAAGTTTATTTTATAAATTATAAACCATATCGACATCGTCACTGGACGAAAATTGGAATAACGATTTTTGTGGCACATTTTAACTGCATATTAATAAAAACAGATAAATGCGACAAGACTGAATGTGTTCTAATAACCGTTATAATATAATTAAAAGTTGCAATTAAAAGTCATGTAAATTCAGTACTGGAAATACAAAATACGATATTGGATTTGCACCACCATTTAGCGACTATTTTTGTTTTGAATCAAAAAAATATGGCAACAATAGATTATTTTATTAGTGATGAGTGATGACTGATGAATGATGACGGCACATTTTATGGTCACTTATTCGCAATGAGTTTTACAGGCTACGAGGGCAAGAAATGTCCGTCGTTCAAGGATATCTAGTTTATTAAGCAATTAAAATTTGCCAAATTCGAAATCTTACACCCTAGATAAACAAGAAAATATATAGAAATATATTTAAATAAAATAACTAAAACTTAAAACAGATCGGTACTAAACATTTTTCTATATCATCCACCATAAAATTTTGTCTACGATCAGTCGAGAAAAATATCGAAGGGACACTTGGACGACCCACGTTTGAAGAGTTCGAAAGATCCTGGATCGTAGTCATTCAGATGGACCATTTTTACTCTGAACAAATTTTGGTCCCTCTAGTTTAAAAGAAAACCATATCAACGGGAAGACAAAATAAACATCCATTCACCGATTCTTCCCCCTCCTCGAATT